TGGCTTTGGTATCAAAGATATGTTTGCTTCATAGAATGAATCTGGGAGGGTTCCATCTTCTTCTATTTTCTGAAATAATTTATGTAGAATTGGTGGCTTTTATGCTCTTGAACTCTTATCCACTGGAGATCTGATCAGAATGAAAGAGGGAAGGCTGGGGGCCTCGTTGCCCTCTTGCCAAGCCAGGGTGCATAGTGGGACCTGGAGAGCTGTGCACTAGAGAGTCTAGAGCCCTAGGACGACCCTGGGGACACCAGATATCCTCCAGAGCCTGCCTACAGAGCTGCTGCCCAGGAGGGGTGAGCACTGGGGGCAGCCACGGACCCCGCTCTTACCAGGGGCACCGACTAGGGATGGTAGCCCAGCCCTGTGACTGTGGGTGTCTGGGGGGCACTGATGGCCCAGGGTGGGAGTTTTGCTGTCGTTCTCAGATTTAATCCTTCTCAGGTCCTCTTGTCAGGTGGTTGTAATATAAATAACCAACACTTACTAGATGCCAGATCTTGTATTTATATGCATTAGTTTACTTGTTATTATTTATTTACTTTAATTAAGCTTTATTAAGGCATAATTAATAAAGCCTTAATTAATTTATCAGGATTGTCATTTCCGTCCTGTCAACACTGCAGAATCTCTCTCCTCCTTTTTGTAGAGGAGGAGATAGAGATTCCGAGCCATAAGGCAACTTGCCTAAGTGCATGCAATCTGTATGTGACAAGCTGGTCCTCAAACCTAGCTTTTCCATCTAGATTTGAAATTCAGATACACAAGTACAACCCGAAGTTAAATCTTAATGAGTCTGTTGAGAACTGAGAAATGAATCATAGTAATTACACTGTATCTACATTTAATGTAGTGTACAACCCAGCATCTCCACATACTGCATCTGTCAGGCAACGATGCATTTTAGAGATGGCAACCCTGTAGTTGAGAGATGCCAAAAAATCACAGGAGGGGACAGGCATTAGAGTAAGGATGGGAAGTGGCCAGTGTTTGAGAGTCCTTGATATCTTAGTCCATTTCTCTTCAAGGTGACTGCTATGTGAACTTATTTCGATGGCATTTTGAAGTAGACAGTATTAATTACCTCCCCTTTACAGGTTATGAGTTTGAGGAACAGATAAATTCAGTAACCGCTCACAGGTCACACGGCAGTAAGTGGTAAAGCCACGATTTGAACTCAAGTCGTCTGGCTCCTGAGAACCACATTGAGCTTTTTCTTTTGGCTACAACCTATTTAATGGGGCCACTGAGGCACAGAGAACTGAATGACACATCCAGCATGCAAAACTAATTTTGTACTGTGTTGATTGCTTAGTCTTTTCCTAGAGACCAGAACTTGGGAGCTGGGGGTCAGGTTAGGGGATTGAGGGGTTGGACACCCCATTAGCCCTTCATTCCTGGAGTGCATGAGTGCATGCCTGTGCATGCTCCTCTCTCTCTTTCTCTCTCTCTCTCTCTGGGTGTGGATGTGGGTGGGTGTGGTGTCCAAGTCGTCCATCTGCCGTGGCTGACCAGTGTCTTTCCCGCAGGGGGTATATGCATCGCCCAGTCGGTGAAGATACCACGGGAGCCCAAGCCAGGCGAGTTTGACAAGATCATCCGGCGCCTCCTGGAGACTTCTAATGCAAGAGCCGTCATCATCTTTGCTAATGAGGATGATATCAGGTGAGGAGGGCAGGCAGTGGTGGAGTAGGGAACCAGATGTGGGGTTAACCTCTGGTCCCTCCCCTTAGACTAGCCTGACCCCACGTTGGCATCCGGAGGGGTGGGAGTGAAGAGGTGTGTGAACTGGGAGATGCCTCAGGCTGTGGCACACACAGGCACACTCTCCCGTCTTCCCTGTATGTTTCCTATATGCATTTCACAAAGTGGGGGCAGCTAGGGCCAGGGACTTTAGCTAGACCACTTGGGTTCTAATCCTTCTCTCCTTCTCTCTGAGCCTCATTTAGTCTTGAAAGAAAGGTGTTAATTATGGTAACAGTGCTATTATGGGCAATCTCCTCTTATACAATGTACAACCTCAAAAAACTTGTTGGAGGATCAGCTATGAGTTGGTTCCATCTTGATGTCAGTGAGACCGTGTCAATGAGAGAGAATGATGGTGCTAGAGCAGTTACGAGAATTGAGTGCAGGGAAGGGCAGGGGCCTTGGAACAGGTTCTGGCCAGCACAAGCCTGTGCTTACCTGCCTGAACTATTTACTACAGATGAGTAAGCAGTAAATATGGCCACCTCTCAGTCCCTCCCTCTTTTCTCTGAACAGTTCAGAGCAGAAGGAAGAGTTCTGGGCCCTGAGTTCTAGTCCTGGCTCTGGCTCAGACTCCCTGCGGGCAACTTTCTTCTCCCCCTGGGCCTCAGTCTTCATATATGCAGAGTGGTCCAGGAGATTGGAGCCTCCAGACTCTATGCACACCCACCATGCGCCCCCTGGGTCAGTCAGAAAGAGAAGATTCCCAAGCACTTTTCCTTATCTACTTTGTTTCTGCCTTTTCCTTTGCTCCCCACCTCCTTGAGTCTGGTTGACAAGGCCAAAATGAGACAGAACTGAAAGCTTCCTCAATCTGAGGGAGAGACTCAACCCTGCACTTGGTGAGCCCCAGTGAGGGGGAACGCAGCCTTGGCCTGAAGGAGCCCTCACAGGGAGCCCCGGTGAAGGGCACGCAGTCTTGGCCTGAAGGAGCCATCAGCTTGCTGATGAGACCCAACCCTGACTTGAGTCAGGTGGACGAAGCCCCACTGCCTTTGCAAAGGAGGGTGAGGGAGCAAATGTAGTCTCTCCCTGGCCCCTCCCTTAGAGCCCACAGAGACTCTGGTGCCCTCAGATCTCTCTGGATCCCCGACCAGACCTGGATACCCTGCCTGCCCTCCTGTTTTCCACCTGCTGACCAGCGCCCACCCTAGGCCTGTTCTTTCAAACCATCTTTCCCAGCTGCTGTTGCCAGTTGATAAACACCTAATCCTAGAATCATATAAAGCAGCTATCTGGAGGGGCTTTGCCAGTCCCTGGAGGTGGGGAGTGATAGGTTATGGAATACCATGGAGCTCTCAAACCTGAAATGGCCGTCTGTGATAGGGGTGTCCTAGGCGGTCACAGCACAGGAAGGGGAGGTCCTCAGAGCTATCTCCGACACCCTCACTACCCTGCTCGGAGGCAGCTTCTTATCACCATAAGCCTGACTCAAACTCAGTTCATTGCTTTTGAGTCAGAAGTGACTCAGAGCTGACCCTCCAGCGTGTATTCTGGAGGCTGTGCGCTTGGCAGGAGATTGCCCATTGTTCTCTGGAGGAGCATCTGGAGGACTCACAGTAACAGATGCTGCCTTTGAGTTAGCAGTATAGCTTCCTGCAGACCCCACTGCCATGTCCCAGGGCAGGAGAGGCCCCTTCTGAGCTCTTTGTCCTCAGGCACCAGCCCCCCATCCAAACTCGACACTGCTCAGTTCCCAGACCGCACCCAGATGTGCCCTCCTCCCCTGGCTTACTAACAGACAGCTTTGGCTCAGCCATTACTCTCCATCGAGTCCATGAACAAGGTCTTTGGCTTTCCCTTGCAGTACCCACATCCCGCCTGATTCCCCCTAGTTGTGGGCCAGGTTCCCCAGGGACCTGTCTATACTACCATTGGAAGGACAGATGATGAAGGGTTGAGAGAAGCAGGGAGCTGCATACTGAGATATACCAGGCAAGAGACTGGGGGTCAGGGCAGGTCGGACCAAGGTGGGTGGTATGAAGTGGTACCTTTTAGGACGTAGACTCACAGGTCTTGGTGATTGACTAGTTGGAGATGGTAAAGGAGAGGAAGGAATCTTAGCTCACCCCCAGATCTGGGTAGGATAACTGTGAGGAAAAGTGGGGTAAAACAGGGGAAGGCCTGACCAGTTTAGTTTGAGCCATGTTGAATCAGGAGTTTCAACTGGTGTTATATGGCAATTATATATTTCCACCTACCTTTAGGAGGACTTGCCTTTTGCCTTAGTTTCTTTTGTGACCTCTGTGGTTCCCTAATATAAAATGTGTACTGTCCACTGATCAGAGCAGATGGGTGGTAGAAAAAACCTAAGAGCTATAGGGGTCAAGAGACAGGTACCCACTAGGTCTCTTATTGGCTGTGTGCCCTTGGGCAAGTCACTGTCCCTCTCTGAGCCTCTGTGTTTGCATCTGCCCAATGGAAATGACTAGACTATGTCATGCCCTCTCAGAGGGAACTGTAGGGGAGTTCACAGGGGAAGGGCCTGGAGGCCCCAAGCTCCAGACATCAGGAGACAGGAGATGAGGATAGGCACCTGGGGGAAGGTGTGGAAGGGACTTAAGATTGGCTCCCCACGCGCAGGCTGAAGGAAATGTGGTGGGAGGTGGGGGTCACTTCTGGGAATCCATATGCATTTTCAGAAGCAAACAAATAAAAATAAACCCAGGTGACTTTGCAGGGATGCAGGGCTGGGAGCCCTGGCTATCTTGGCTGGCCGGATGCAGGCGGGTATTAATAGGGACGTGAGTGTGGGTTCTGAGAGCAACCTCACCTGCCATTAGTGGTGACCTGGTGAGGGCCCTGCCGCAGGTGAGAGGGTCCGGGAAGTGTCAGGAGTTGGTTGATGAGGGAGGCAAGGAAGGGGGTGGGTGGTAATGATAGCACGAATAGCTCATGCTGGTCCCACCCAGACCCAGCTCTAAGGGCTGAAAATGCTTTTTTCCAAATCCTGGGCCCTGCTGCCCCAGCTGACCACTCCCCTGCACAGTCCCAGGAGCCACCTCCAAACCCTGCATCTGGTTCTTGCTTATGGGATGGGCTTAGGCAGTTTTTAGTCTCACTGTTTCTCATTCACTGTATGACCTTGGGCAAGTCACTTGCCTCCTCTGTGCTTCAGTTTGTCCCTGTGGAAGATTTGGAGAGAGTCTAACCATTCTTCCCTGATTTTCCCCTCCAAGGAATGATGTCTTTGTGGGACACATTCAGTGTTAATTGAGAACTTGTAGGCTTGAGTCTGTGTGGCTTCCTGATTTGATTAAGACCATGGCAGGGCTGAGGGTGGGTGGGATGCGGTGAGCCTTATGGGCTCCCAGCTCAGTCCACCCCATGGACTCCCTCACTGTACAGGGTATGGGGACCAGCTCTCCAAAGGCCCTGGACTTTTAGCGCAGAGGAGATGAATGTAAGAGCTCTGGCGGCAGGGGGCTAACATGTGCAGCGAGGTTAAGATGTACAAGTATGTGTATGTGCACGTGTGTATGTATGATGACAGATATAAATGTGGGAATCTGTCAGTGAATATGGATGTGTGGGTGGGAACCTGAGCAGACAGAGAATGGGCAGATATGCTTCTTCTAGGAGCCATGGTCAAACACAGAGAAGATGTGAGCCTGGGGCAAATATGGTCCTAGGGAAGCACACAGGTCTTGTAGTAAGAGCAGGTGAGGCTAAGGGACTGGAAATAGTGGGAGAAGTACCCATGGACCTGTGGATTGGTGTGGGCCTGGGGTAGGGGGCACCTGGGTCTGGAAATATTGTGTGGGCTCTGGGGAAAGCTGTGGCCCCCAGGCACCTGTGGGTAGAGCAAGGCAGTTGTGGACAGACACGGCTGGGCTGGGCTGGTGTGTGTTCCCACAGGCGTGTGCTGGAGGCAGCACGAAAAGCCAACCAGACGGGCCACTTCTTCTGGATGGGCTCGGACAGCTGGGGCTCCAAGATTGCCCCTGTGCTGCACCTGGAGGAGGTGGCGGAGGGTGCTGTCACTATCCTCCCCAAGCGGATGTCTGTGAGAGGTAGGCCAGGAGGCGGGACCATTTCCTTCACTCCAGCAGCACTGCCAACATCATCTGGACTCTCCCATCACTCTCCTCTCCTGTTCCTCATTTCCCCACATCTTTTCATTCTTACTCATGCTGCACTGGGAGGCCTTTCAGACCACACTCAGCCTAACAGACTTTGAATCCAGAGTCAGGACCCACTCATTGTTCCTTCTCATATGTTTTACACGTGGGAGATGTGTACATATGCGAAAGACTCATTTATCAGAGGTTCTTCTTTACCTCTCATCCCATTCCTCCTCACTCCTGGGACAGAAGAGGCCAAGGCGACGGGTTACTGTCATGGAGCTGCTCTCTGGCTGTGCAGGGGGGAGGGGCCCCCACAGAGAGGGAGAGTGGGGAGGGGGCAGGCAGGCCCTGGGATGGGGTTCGGGTTGAGCCTGCCCTGCCTGCACCCCTTGCCCTCTGGTCAGGACCCTAAGTCACCCTGGACAGGAGCAGGAACAGTCTGCTCCAGCTGGAGCTGCAATAAGAGCAGAGAGCAAGGCATGACGTTCCTGTTAATGGCTCAGTTTGGCTGGAGCCTGGCTCTCCTCATCACAGAGGGGAAGCAGGGTCCTAGGACCTTCTCTTCCTCTACACTCGCCCCCTATTCAATAGACCCCAGCTTTGGTGGAGCTAAAAAGGATTATATCACCCTGAAACCCACAGCATCCCTTTTCAACAGGAAGTAGCTAAGAGAATACGCCATCCCCTTTTCCTTATGAATCAGGGTGAAGTCTCTCTCAGGGAGGAGTGATAGGGAATGGCAAAGGACACACTGACAAAGGAGATTAATCAGAACTGGCTTTGACAAGCACTGTGGCAATTGGACAATTAAAAGAGACATTCAGGGGTGGGGAGAAGAACGAATTGGGGAGGAGGGTAGAGAAAACAGTGCAACAATGAATGAATGAGAACCCAAAATCTCTGTAAAGGTTCATTAAAACTAATAAAATTTAATAATAATTAAAAAAATAAATAAAAAGGATTGCAGACCCCCGCCCCTTTCATCCAGCAGTCTGACAGACTGAGGCTCTGGAAAGAGTAGAGGCTTGCTTAAGGTCACACAGCAGTATATCTGTTTCCTCTGAGGTAGAGGGAGCACAGGCCATACCACCTTACTCAGTCCCAACCCTTAGGAAACGAACTAGCAAGAAATGCCACTTACTGGTCCCTACAAATGTCAGGCTTCTTACAGATATCTCCTGGTGTCCTCCCAGCAGCCCTGTGAATATTTTTCTCCACATCCATTGAGCTTCAGACAGGTTAAGTGAGATATGTTGGCAGTAAGTGACAGGGTGGCTAGTAAGTGGCAGAGTTGAGATTTGAACCCACGTGTCATTTGACAAGTCTCCTTTCTCTCTGGAACATTAGAGAAGCCTTTAGAGCAGTGATTCTCAGCCAGGGTCCATTTTGTCCTCCAGAATGCAAATGGCAATGTCTGGAAACATTCTGGGCTGTCACAGCTGGTGAGGGGAGAGGCACAGGGAGGAGGGAAGATGTTGCTGGCAGAGGTCAGGGATGTTGTTCAACGTCTGACAAGGCATGGGATAGCCTCTGCAGCACCACATTTTTCTTGCCCAAAGTGTCAGTAGTGCCATTAATCCCCCAACTGGTGCTTGCATGTCTGCTACAGCTCATTTAGCTCAATTTGGACCCTTCCAAGTACAGGGAGCTCACTACTTGATATGGATTCTATTGAGCTCTCAGGCTTTCTGGCCTCACCAGAGCAGCTCAGTCAGTTTTGCCTATCACACGGATTGGGGAAGAAGAACAGGGCCTCTCACCCGGCAGAGAACAGAGTTATTCAGTCTTGCTTGCAAAGCATGTATCAGTGATGAAAAGTTCTCTCCTTGAAGAGGGAAGAGGTAGGTAGGACCTGGTCTTGTTGCGTGACCTGCATGGTCCCCTATCTTCCCTAGCCTAGTCTCCTCCTCAGACCAGAGTGAAGCTCCCAGGTTTGGGCAGCCCCCACCTGCTCCTCCTCTCTGCCTTGGGGCCCTGGCTCTAATCTCAGGTCTGCAAGGTTCCTCCCTCTCAAAGAAGCCAGATATTAGCATTTGTTGTTGACTAAAAGGCCGTGGAGACAACGGCTTCGGTGTTCTTCTCTTCTGTAAAGGCAACAGTTGTGAGATTACACATATTCCCCTGGGACTCAATTCAGCCCTTTTCATTTTGAATGAAAAGCATTGCTGCACATTTTGTTTTCTGCTGTCAAAGTCTTGGTTCAGAAGATCAGAAGCAGGGGGAGGAGGTAGGGCCTGGGGTGTGCGGGGAGGGGCGGGAGCGCGGGCCTGACGTCCTCATCCTCTGCCAGGATTTGACCGCTACTTCTCTAGCCGCACGCTGGACAACAACCGGCGCAACATCTGGTTCGCCGAGTTTTGGGAAGACAACTTCCACTGCAAGTTAAGCCGCCATGCACTCAAGAAGGGCAGCCACGTCAAGAAGTGCACTAGTGAGCACGCTCGGGCTGGGCTGGAGAGAAGGGCATGGCCTCGGCGGGAGGAGCAGCGGGAGGGGGCGTGGTGTGTGGGGCGTGGCCTGTGGGAGGGGGGGGGGGGGGGGTGGTGGGGGGGGGAAGGGACCGGCAGAGACTGAAGCATGCTGGGGCGGGACTTGTGGGGAGGGAGGGGCGGGGCCTGTTGGAAAGGGGGCGGGGTCTGTGGGGTGGGAAGGGGCCTGCAGAGACTGAGGCATGAATGGGAGTCTAGGAAGGATGAGAACTGAAGTTCTCCAGGTGTAGGTGAAAAACTTGATGGAGCAGAGATGCTCTGGGAGCAAAGACCTGGTAACCTGTTCTCTTAAAGACTGACTCATTCACTGCCATTGAGTGAGTTCTGACTCATTACTGATTATAGTCTCTCGGGTTGTAAATCATAACTCAAGGAGACTACCCATCTTTCTCTCTCGGAATCCTCTGGTGGATTTCCTGTACAGCTCACTTTGAACTACCAGAGCTCCCTCCTTAAAGATTAAGCTCAGCTCAGCTCACTGTCGCAGAGTCAGTTCCTATTCCTAACCATCTTCCACCGCTTTCCAAGTCTGTAAATGATAATGAGGGAGTTCTGGTGACTTAGTCTTTAGGGAGTTGTGCTGCTAATCCAAAGGCTATGCCTCCCTGGTTGTTTGAATCCACTAGCAGCTCTGCAGGAGAAATGTGAATCATCTCCTCCCTTGCCATTTACAGCCTTGGAAACCCATTGGTTTCAGCAATGTGTTAGTTCCCACTTGATGGCAATGAGTTTGAGTTTTAGAGTTAAATCATAACAAGAGGAGATTGCTCCTCTTCCCCCCCCCCATGGAGCAGCTGTTGGATTAAGAACCACTGGAGATGCAGGCTTTTGATTAGCAGGCGAACATCCTGCAGACCCTATTAGAGCTCTGTCCTTAAAGATTACAGGCCACAAAATACTATGAAGCTGTTCTATTCTGAGTCAGAATCTACTCCAAAGCACCCAACAACAATCAAGTCTACATTTAAGGGCCAGGTCACTTGAGTGAGGAGCTGGTGGAGGATATGAAGGACCAAAAAGGCCAAAATACAGCCTGTGGAGATTGGAGGTTGAGGGTGGAACCTTAATGGGGGGTAAAACTTGAAGGGGCAAGGCTAGGCAATTATGGGTCCAACTCTAGGATATTTTGAGTAGAGAAAAAGAGCCTGGGAAACCATAGTGGTATCGTGAGTGACAGATCCTCGTGACATGGTGAATAGGGGAGGGACTCCTGTGAACTTGTAGAAGTGCTATAAGCTTCTGGCCGCTTTAGGGTTCATCTGCCCATCTTGAGGGCAAGTCCACAGAACAAATTGACTCCAACCGTCCTGTGGAGTCTGGCAAAAGCAGGGCACCCAAAGGCTTGGAACTCTATAGAAATGACTTCTAACCTTTCCCTCTGGGTTCTCTCAGTCACTCCACAAAACGTATTTCCAAAGAGGCAAAAATCTCTTGAGTTTTTATCCCAATAGGAGGATACATGATAAACATTTAACTGTGGAATGTCTTAAAGTAAATGTGCAGTACTGAGAACCAGGAAAGAAAGAGGGTAGGGAATTTGAGGTCAAGGGGAAGAAGGACTGAACCTGTAGAAATTACCAGGGAAGGTCATGCTGTGATTGTAGCACTGAAACAGAGCACCAAGGAGGAGAGGGAATGAGCCATGGAGGGTGCGGATAGGGGTAGGATAGGAGTGGGTCATTTTACAGATGGGAAAACAGAGGATCATTAGAAAGGGAAGCTCATATGGTAAAGGAACCCTAGTTCCCGCAGGTGGACAATGGTGGAACCTAGGACTGTGCTCTATACTGGCACCTACTAGGGTAGTTGTCTTAGTAGGTCTACAGTCAGACAGACATCTCTCTATCTACACTATATACAGCATCACCCTGAATTGATAGGTGCAGTTTGAGCAGAAGACGGGGTGGATAAGCACCACTGAATTTGCACTGAGGACATGCTGCATGGAGCAGTTAGCAGCTGGGCAGACCAAAGACAGGAGAGGAGGGAGGGAGCTTGATGCTCAGAGGTGGCTGCCATCTGGTGGCCAGGGCCCACAGGGAGTCTTATCCACTAGAACTGTGGAGATCCCTTGGCACCCAGGCAAGCTCACGGGCAAACCTACCAAGTCTGATCTGTCAGGTGAGTGTGAGTGTGCAAGTGGCAGTGCGGTGTGCTCACAGCTGCATGTTTGTGTGTGCATGAGGCTGCAGGTCTGAGGGAGCAGATGTGTGTGCACACTTGTGCCTCCTGTGGAGACTTTGAGTTCTTAGGTGAGCAAACCACAAGCACAGTGTAGGCATCTACTGCTATGTTCTGGACATGGAGCTCTGGTGACCTAGTGGTAAGAGGTTATGCTGCCAACTCAAAGGCACACTGTTCAAATCTACCCACTGCTCTGTAGGAGAAAGATGGGCAGTCTCCTCCTGTGAACTTTTACTGCCTCTAAAAATCTTCTGGAGGGTCAGCTATGAGTTGGTTTTGACTTGGGGGCACAACATGCTCCAGATGCTTTAAACATATCACCTCATGTTACCCTCGCAACTCTGAAACATCTTAAAACTCTACAGATAATAGGTGAGGATATGGAGAGTCAAAGAGGGAAGGCTGCAGAGTAACTGCCTTAATCAGGCAGTGATCACAGCAGAGGGAGCTCTGGTGGCCTCCTCGGTAGGGAGTTGTGCTGCCCATCCAACTCTACTTTCTCTGTAGGGTAAGAGTGGGCCGTTTCCTCCCTGTGATTCATAGCCTCTGAAAACCCACTGGAGGGTTTGCTGTATGAATCGGCTTTGATGAGACACCAGTGAGTGATCACAAGTGATGTGGTCAGTAAGCAGTGCACATGCTTCAGCGTGGCAGGCTGGGCCCTCATGGGCAGAGTATCCGTGCATTCTGCCCATTCTTGTTCTCTTGCCATAATTATTGATCACTCACTCGTTGCTGTCAAGTTGAGTGAGTCCAACACAGAGATCCTTTATTCAGTTTCCGAAGCTGTAAATCATACTGAGAGGAGACTGGAGGCCTTTAGGTTATCATCATAAATCGCTGTGGACTAAACCACCGGGGCTCCCTCAGTTATTGATACAGATGCAACACCTTAGTGCCATCAAGCCAGGACCCAGCTGTAGGTGATCCTCCAGCCAGCTCTCTGAGACTGTGATTTAGACAAGAAGATACTGTCCATCTCTTTCCCATGAAGCTTCTGGTGCACTCACCCTGCCAGAGAGGTGCTGCCTGTAGGCTAGCAATGCAGCTCACTGTGGACTGTGCCACCAGAGCTCTCCTAATTATTTTAAGTTTCCCCCTTTTACTCTCAGATATCCTCATATGTGGATGAAAGGTCACCTTGCGTAGGGCTTGGGTGAGTCCAGTGGAGGATACAACAATTTAACTGGAAGCTCCTAATCCCAGTGACCAGCGTGCTGGTGGTGAGGGTGTTTCTGGAGCCTCCTTTGTCTGGGAGTGTCAGGAGGAAGAGAGACAGCCGTGGTCATTTCTCAGGGCTCTGGCCATTCACCCAGTCCTCGGGCAGGATTCCTGGACTTCTGGCCAGCTGTCTGGTGAACAGGAAGAGCTCAGCTCTCTAACATCATGAAGGAAGGAACTGAGCCGGGCTGTTGAGAGTGGATAGGGAAGGAGGAAGGGAGCAGGAATCAGTGGAGTGTGACAGCTCTGCTGTGGGCCTGAGGCAAGTCCTGTGACCTCTGGGCCTTTGCTTTCTCATCTGAGAAATGGAATTGATAGTGAGCAAGCCCAGAGGTGTGGAAGTGAGAAAACCTTAATGGAGGTACCATGTGAGCTGTGAAATAGGGCCTCTCAACCCTGGCTGTGCACAGAGTCACTAGGGGGCTTTAAAAACGATATCCAGGCCTCATGCCTACATCAGCTAATTCAGAATCTCAGCAATAGGGTCTGGGCAGTGGATGTTTTTAAAGCTCCCTGCGTGATTTAATGTGCACTCAGGCCTGGGGACTTAGGGCTGGATCAGTGGTTCCCCATGTTTGCAGCACACTGATTCACTAGGGGAGTTTTTTAAAAATACTGATACTGCACTCTCACCCCTTTACAATCTGGCATCAGGATTTTTAAGAAAGCACCAAAGTGATAACTCAATATAGGAGCCTCTGGGACAGAGAGGTGAGTGAGGGGTGGGAGGATGACAGGCCCCCCAGGCAGTGGGAGCATTTGAGGAAGGGGAGGCTGGAATGAGCATGGAGTGCATTTCACAAGGAGCAGTGGAGGATGGCACGTCACAGCTACTCTACATCCTTCGTGGTGTATTCAGAGCCCCATCAGAGGCTGCTGAGAGTCCGTGGGTGACCCTAAATTAGGCATGGTGAGCCCCATGTCTGGATGAGGGGAGCTGAGAGCAAGGAGCTGCCCAGAGTAGTTGTGGGGCCTGAGACCCTGGTGAGGGACTAGCAGCCCTGACCTCTCAGAGCCCCACCAGTGTCTGAATTGAGTTGGCTCCTGAGGAGAAAGTCTGAGCCAGGTAGGACTGGGGTAGGCACCCCCATAAAGTGCTAGTGCTAGGCTGGGCATTTGGGGGAGGTGGGACAGGGGAAGGACTCTCTTCCTTGAGTCTGTCTTGCCTTGTCCCTGCTGTGTGACCTTGGACAAATTACTTAACCACTCTGAATCTCAGATCCCACATCTGTGTTCACAGGGATGACAACACTCAGTGGGTTGTTGAAGATTAGAGAGAAGGTTTATGAAGAGGCTGGCTGGAAAATGCTGTGTGAAATTGGTGCTGATACAACAGCTGTCATTGTTGATATAGAAGAGGAAGGGGAGGGGGATGAGATTTAGACCCGAGATTAGGTAACATAACAGCCCAAGGCAGTTTGTACTGATTCTTTCTGCTGTAGAGAAGTCACCATTCTGAGATGTTGTTGAGTTAACTTAAGCGCCCCCATGCACCTCAGAGCATACTGGTACCCTACACGTATTTTCAATGGCTGAT